CTACCAGCTCAACCATCAATCTTGCACTTTGATCTGAGATACCCTGTACTAAATTACTGTTTTGTATCACCTCTAGAAGTCTGTTTTCTTGCATCTTACTTAAATGAACCACCCAGAAATCACATTTGTACAAAGTGAGCCAGCCTTGACAGCCTGATGTACATCATCGTCTGTATTTCAGCACCCTATAATTCTGCACATACTGTGTATGTATTCTTGATAAAAGAGCTGTTGCACACTGTCTAACTGCTGGGTGAATCACTGGTGAGTCATGGTGTCGTAACTCCAGTGATCTCTGGCCACGGTACCATAGCAGCAATTTGCCATACGTCAGGGTGAGGTGTGGTACATGATGAGGGAATTCTGTGGAACTCTGAGTCACAAATATTTAATGGACTGTTCCCTATCCCAGAACGCTAGGATTACATGCCCTGTGCTCTAAGCAATCTCTTTGGAGCATGTACAGTACCAATTACCGTACTTTTTCAGCATTGTGGTTATCAAGTTTCTGAAATGCTTGACTATGACTTCCTGCCATTCTAACTGCGTGGTATTATTCCCCCGATTGTGAAATGCTGCTTAATGCTTCTCCCCATCTAGAAGTGTTCCTTCTCACTAAGGCAATGTCTGGCTGTACTGCCACTGTTCCATTGTTTTTCACTCTACAACTTAACACTTGGGGCAAATGGAATTCAGATCTTTTATAAAAGAAGCAAGTCTTTCCTTTTTTTTGAAGTCCCTGAGCTTCATGTAGGAAAAAATGTACGAGTTGGGTAATGACCTGTCATGACCCTCGTAAATAGGAAAACTGGACTTAGTTCTCCAGGGAGCTTTCATTATTTCCAATATTTCTTTTGAATGTATCCCATACTGCAATGTCAACTGCTGACCTTTACGTTCCAGAGTGACTCATCTGTTTGATTGGTACTGTGTGCTGTTTGTAGTTTTGGTCTTGTCATGATAATTTCTAAAAAAAGTAGAAAATCTCAGTACTCTGCAAAGCAGTCACTGGCCTGTCATTAGCTTGCTGTAATGTTGCAGGGTGTACCTTTACCAAGAAATTGGGCTATGAATATGCTTGCTAGTAATTTCATATCTTCAATCCAGCATGCATCACAGGACTAGTTCCCTCTTATCTTATCCACATCCTGTTTTTTCTTTGAAAACAAACCAATTGATTTCCTTTTTTTTCCCCATTTTTGATTCCCTCCTCGTACTGTCCCCAATATTTTCTTATTGATGATCTCGTCCTCAATCAAATTCATTCATTCTTCTGCTTTTTTTTCTGTCTGTCTTTTCTTTATTTCCTTCCTTCCCGCTCTTCCGTCCATCTGTCCTTCGTTCCCCAGCACCCCCTTTGCAGTGATGGTAGCCTTTGTGCTTTGGTTTGCCAGTCTCACCTCTTCCTCCCTTACACTTGGCCTAGTTACTTCATATTTACCATATAATCTGATATGACCTTTGATGCAGACAAGATTCACCAGGGTGGGTCCATGAATGAAAAACTAATTACTAAGAAAAATTAGAGAAATTCCTTGCAGAAGGGGAGGTTTAGAGGAGATTTGATAAAGCTATTTGCTATCATGAGGAATCTGGATGGAGTAGATGAGGAGAAATGTCCCATTGATAGAAGAATAGAGAAGTAGAAGGCACAGACTGAAGGTAGTTGAGAAACTCGAAATTTTCATGCAGCAACTGGTTGGGATCCGAAAGCTATGGTGGAAGGATGTTCAACTGAGGCTTTCCTAAGAAGATGAGATCATTCTCTGAAAAGCCACACAAACGCAGGGCTAAAAGGCAAGGCAATGGAGTGATACTAGATGAATTACTCCTTAGATGGTGGAATGACTATAACCACTTTCAGATTCTAACTGGGTCAAGATGGTTTGGGTCTGTACTCCAGAGAATGGAGCGGGGCGTGAAGAATAGGTAATAATACTGTTTCAGTGGTGGGGACAGCTGGAATGTGTGTTTTGTTAAGGTTATGGAGCAATTCATAAATCATATCCTGCTTTTTTAAGTCAGTTCATCGACAAATAAGCTGGGGGTCAATGATAAAAGTGAAAGAAATTTTGGATGCAGAGTTCTATAGTTTGTGTAGGATAGAGTCTAGCAAGAAGAACGTCCATTTCAACGTAGACAGTGTTTTGGTTGGAGTGAGGTTAGGATGGAAGTACGACTGTACACCTGGATCCTGGGTTTGAGGTCAGCTCGTGCAGCTGTTTTGTGAAAATTACACAAGAATGGAAGTGGGGTGGAATTGAGAGGACAGTGTAGTCTCTGAACCACTAAACAGGACAGCTTGAGTGTGCCCATGCTGTTGGAAAGTATGATTCAATATGCACTAGTGATTCAGTAGCACAGTGTTATGAGATCCTGGGTGAGGTTGCTTGATAGGGTAAGTTAATTGATGTTATGTGTGTGGTATCTTGCAAATCCAGGTGTAGGAAATATTGCATGTGAATAATTCTAATTAATTCTAAAGAATTCTAACTACATTTGGATCTGATGTTATCTTTAATTTATAAGATTTTCAACAGTATTTCAAGAATATTAACTTTTTTTGCGTAATGTATATTTGAGAACTATTTGAAACTAGTAAAACAGTTTCTAAATCAGGAAATTGCTGTCTGTGTTATCCTGGTCCTTTACAAACTGGCAGGCATGGTATAAAGCAATAGACTCAACATTGAAATCCATGTAAGGGCAAGTTGTTACCAAGTAAACATGCCAGAAAATGTTAAATCTGGTGCATTCAGGTGTAAATGAATTTTTGATGATGTGCCAGATCATAATTATAGCCCGATAACTTTCGTCTAGCACTGAGAATTTACTTGTACTCATTCGTTCAATGCAATTTGTATTAGGGAATTTGAACAAAAAGTTACATTTTATTTTATGTAAGCACCTAAGAAATAGGAGCAGGGGTGGACCATACTGCCTCTTGAAGTCCGCTGTATGTGAACACGCCACATAAACACATTGGCTACAAGAGCAGGTCAGAAGCTAGGAATACTGTGGTGAGTAACTCACCTGTTGACTCCCCAAAGCCTGTCTACCATCTACAAGGCACAAATCAGGAGTGTGATGGAATACGCCCCTCTTGCCTGGATGGGTGCAGCTCCAAAAACACTCAAGAAGCGTGACACCTTACAGGACAAAGCAGCCCGCTTGATTGGCACTACATCCACAAGCATCCACTCCCCCCATCACCTACACTCAGTAGCAGCACTGTGTACTAACTATAGGATGAAATTGAGAATGGGGAATTGAAAATACAATGGGAAAATGTTCTTCTCTGAACTAGATTGGGATCTATGTATTAGTGCTTGTTCACTGTACTGTGATGTATGCTTTCATTAGCTTTACTGGCGTTCTTACTGATGCGATTGATGCTGATTCTACCAATTGCAAAGCTGTTGCTGGCTGTCACAAACTCCTTTCTCTAAACAATCATTTTATCACACTCTTGGAAACAAACATTGGAGGCCCAACCATGCCAAGTATCTGTGATAATGGCATTTATGTATTAATTTTTAGCTGTAACTCCATTGCTCAAAGAAAAAGCTTTCATCTTGGATTTCCTGGAGTGAAAAATTGATGCTGACCTAATCATTGTATGGAACAAAAACACATTCTATCCCACAGACCCTTTGGTCCAACTCATCTGTGCCACTAGACATCCTAATCTGACTTAGTCCCATTGGCCAGCATTTGACCCATGTCACTCTAAACACTTCCTGTTCATAAACCCATTCGGATGCCTTTTAAATTATGTTATTGTACCAGCCTCCTGCAGTTCCTCTGGTAGCTTATTCCATGTGCGCACCACCCTCTGTATGAAAAAGTTACGCCTCAGAGTCTTTTTAAATCTTTCCCCTCTCACCTTAGACCTATGTCCTCTAGTTTGGACTCCCCTACCTGGGAAAAGACCGTGACAGTTCACTGTATCCATGCCCCTTATGATTTTATAAACCTCTATAAAGCCACACCTTAGCTGCCAATGCTCCAGGGGCAAAAGCCCCAACCTATACACCTCTCCCTATAACTTAAACCAACTGGGCAACCACCTTGTAAATCTTTTCTGCACCCTCTCAAATTTAGCAACATCTTCCTATAGAAGTACGACCAGAATCGTACGCAGTATTCTAAAAGTGGCCTCACCAATGTCCTGTGCAGCCGCAACATGACATCCCAACTTCTAAACGCAATATTCTGACCAATGAAGGCAAGTGTGCCAAACGCTGCCTTCACCACCCACCTGTGACTCTACTTTCAAGGAACTATGCACCTGCACTCCTACGTCTTTGTTTGGCCACACTCCCTGGGGCCCTACCATTAAGTATATAAGTCCTGCCCTGATTTGCCTTACCAAAGTGCAACACTTCACGTTGATCTAAATTAAACTCCATCTGCCACTCTTCGGCCCATTGGCCCATCTGATCAAGGTCCTGTTGTATTCTGAGCTAACCTTCTTCACTGTCTACTACATCACCTATTTTGGTGTTATCTGCAAACTTGCTAACCGTACCTCCCATGTTCACATTCAAATCATTTATTCAAATGATGAAAAGCAGAGGACCCAGCCCCGATCCTTGGAGCACACAGCTGATCACAGGCCTGCAGTCTGAAAAGCAGCCCTTTTTTTTTTGTCTCATCAACCTGTTGAGACATTTTGTTACAACCTCTGGAGTAGGTGAGACTTGAACCCGGGCCTGTTAGTCCTGGGGTAGGGACTTTACCTCTGCACAATAAGAGCCCTCTTAAAAGCAATCCTCTACCACCACCCTCTGTTCAAGCCAATTTTGCATTCATTTGGCTAGCTCCCCTGGATCCCAAGTGATATATATGTGAAATATATGTTGTATACATATATTCTATCTCGTACACTTTGTCTTGATTTAAGTCCTAGTGTGTATTGTTGGGCCACAATAATGGCATGTATTATCAACTGGTACTAGACCAGCTTTTCTTTTTTTACATTTTCTTCCACCTTTCAGCCCAAGTGGTAAGAAGTTCAGGAGTAAGCCTCAGCTGGCTCGCTATCTCGGAAACAGTATCGATCTCAATAGCTTTGACTTTCGAACCGGGACGATGATGCCTAACAAATTACAGAGGAATAAACAGCGTCTTCGGAACGAAGCCATAAATCAAGCAAAGGTATTGCATCCTTTCAGAATTCTGTTCAGGGTGTGTTTCAGATATGATGTTTTAATAGCGCTACATATTTTTATGAATGTTATCTTTTGGGCACCCATTGCATCTTGTACCGTGGAGTGGTGACTGCAGATTAGAGTCTTCCATTTCCTTTCAAGGTAAGTACTTATTGTTTACCAAATCAAAAGTGAAGGTGATGTGCAGAGACCAAATATTTTTCCATAAGGGGGATTTTAAAATTAAAGTTCAACTTGAACGTTTTTTAAGTCTCCTCCCAGTATCCAATTAAGCAGAAGTCTCCATATATTTTGCTTATTAATGGTTTCAACTCGGAAATGAGTGCAATGTCTGAGATTTTTTTCAAATGGATTCGTGGAATGTGGGCATTGCTGGTTAAACCAGCGTCAATTGCCTATCCCTAATTGCTCCAGAAATCTTGTGCCAAAAATTGAGGGAAGGAGAGGAGGGAATGCAGACTAGGTAACTTAGCTTTTGCATTGCTTAAAAAAAAGTTGGCAAATTTTGAAGGGAGCACCAATTTATACTGCATGACAAAGGGGTGCTGATTGATTGGGAAGTTAACTCTGGTTGAGGCTTTATTGTGGAGAATGCACCAGGAAATTATTTTTTTGCCTCTGCAGGGACGCAGAATCTGTGCAGTAATTGCACTTTTTATAGAAATTAATTTAAAGCATGAGGAACAATACAGAGACAATATTGACATTATTGTGTCAAAATTTAAATCCAATTTCAGTTTAAGTATATTAAGTTTTGTCAATTATGGTTTTTAATAGTGTTTTCACTAATTTGTGCCATTGTCTTTTACTTTGAAAATGTAATTTCTGTTTCCCAAGCGTGACAGTTGTATCTAGCCCTTTTGTGTTTTCTTTTAATTATAGTTGGGTTTTTGAATTGAAAATTTTGATTTTTATTTTCCCATTGGTTGGAAAACAGCAATTGGATGTAAGCTTGAAACTTGTCCTGTCTCCTGATGGCATGATCTCTGGTTTATTGTTTACAATTTTTAGAATACATGTCTACGTTAGCAATTAGAACCTGTTTAGATAGGATCCACTGGGACAGGTCCTGTCCAGAACTCCTCCTCCTCTCTTGTTTCACAACTGCCTGTGATGATATTTTCCCTGATTTTTGGTTAGCCTCGTGTGTTAAAGAAATCCATCAGTGTGATATTTTGTAAACAAGCAGCAGAGAAATTCCCACAAGCAGAATTTATGATGTGGATAGCTCATTTACCGGTGTAGTGTGCCTTCAGACCAATTCTCTAGTGGCTTCTGAGGCTTTGGTTAGAAAGTAGCATGTAGCTTGTCAGTGCCCTGCTTTGCAGATATGCAGAATTGCAGAAATAGTATTTGCACCTTTGGTGTTGACATGTGCCCGATGCTATTTTAGACCTTATTTTTGAGGGATTTGCATGCAATGCTGTCTGCAACTGAGCAGGAAGAATCTCAACTCTGTTAAAGACTTTGGCCGTAATTTTCACCATGGCAGAGGGGTGTCTCCAGCTTAACCAAAACAATGTTGAAGGCCAGAAAACGGATGTCCCTGATTCCAGCACTTAGAGTTCATAGAGATGTACAGCACAGCCACAGACCCTTTATTTCAATTTGTCCATGCTGACCAGATATCCTAAATTAATTTAGTCTTGTTTACCAGCATTTGGCCCATATCTCTCCAGAACCTTCCTGTTCATATACACATTCAGATGCTTTTTAAATGCTGTAATTGTACCAGTCTCTACCACCACCTCTGGCCGTTCATTCTATACACGCACCAGCCTCTGCCTGGAAAAAGTTGCCCCTTGGGTCCCTTTTAAATCTTTCCCCTGTCACCTGAAACCTATAACCTCTAGTTTTGGACTCCCTTACCCTGGGGAAAAAGACCTTGACTATTCATCCAGTCCATGCCCCTCATGATTTTATAAACTTCTGTAAGGTCACCCCTCAGCCTCTGATGCTGCAGGGAAAATAGCCCCAATCAATTCAGCCTCTCACTATAGCTCAAACCCTCTAACACAGGCAAGATCCTTGTAAATCTTTTCAGAACCCTTTCAAGTTTCACAATATCTTTCCTGTTGCAGGGAGACCAGGATTGAATGCAGTATTCCAAAAATGTCCTAACCAATGTCCTGTAGAGCCGCAACATGACCTCCCAACTCCTATACTCCAATGCACTGACCAGTAAATGCAAGCATACGAGCACCTTCTTCACCACCCTGTCTACCTGCGACTCTATTTTCAAGGAACTATGAACCTGCAGTCCAAGGTCTTTGTTCAGCATCACTCCCCAAGACCTTACCATTAAGTGTATAAGTACTTGAGCGATTTGCTGCGGAGCTGGGGTGTTGGATAGGGTAAAGAGCGGGGGATGGGTTGCAATTTGCACATCCGTGGACTACTGAAGAAGCTGCACATGTTAAAAAGTAACTGCCTTCAGTCAGGTCCATTTTTCGGTCACGGGATGACCAAAACGTGACTTGTACACTAGATCAATCAAGACGTTTATGGAGAGGTAGGGTATGCTTTTGGATAGATCAAGAGACACCGCTAGGTGATGAAAATTGACTTTTTTGGAGAGACCATGTTCTGTTTGGGATTGTTAATAAGAAACAACATATGTATAAATGTGCATGAACCCAGTCTCTTTAGCTGCTTTTGCACACTTTCTGGTAGTGGTGTGTTAGACTCCCATGCGTACTTGTCCCAATTTGAAAATCTGGCTATCTGGGGCTTTTGGTCTTGAGTAAGGTTTGTGGAGTTGGGAATTGCCCCACCTCTGCGCTCTTAACCCAGGAGCGATAATTCAGCCCTTTGTTACTGAGCCCCATTAATGATCAAAAAAACTGGTTAATCATTAACAGTTCCTTAAAGTACTTGAGCACAAACTTGGTTCAGGTATTAGATTGCAAGGCAGGTGAATTTGTTATAGTCTGTCATTGCCTGACAGGTTTTTTGGAGGGGTCTGCACCTTCAAGAAGACCCAACATTTTCGTGTGTTTTTATTCTTTTCTAAAAGTCCGAAGTTTGTCAATGCCAAAGGTAGCACTTAATCCTCCTCTAGAAGTCAGCTGACGCCAGGAGTGCCTCAGGATCTGTGCAGGCACCATCTGTGATTTGGAAAATCATTCTGGAAGAAGCGTTATACCAGATTCAACATTAACTGTTTTCTCCCCACAGATGCTGCCAGGCCTGCTGAGTTTCTCCAGCATTCTCTGAGTTTGTTAGTTTTCCACGATCCACAGTATTTGACGTTATATGATTCAGCAGAATAAAGAATGAGTGCATTGTTGCCTTGTGCTGTGTTCCAGATGTGATTCAGTTGGTTCACCACTAGACTTTAACCAAAACACACTCTATTCTTACAACACAGTTAAAACACAATAAACTAGAACTGGCATAACTTTATTCTATTGAAATACCCAAGAAGATATTATTTAATATTATTTAACCACTAATCATCAACTCTTCCGATATAGGCAGCAATCCGTAAAAACACAGTTTGGCAAAATGCAATTCAGCAAAATGGTTATGCCGCCTGTCTTCAGTCCAGAAGAAAGAAACAATCTGCCCCTTTTTATTTTTAAGAAGCCTTGCTGTCTAAGACATTTGAAGCAGAGAATTTGAGCTTTTAGCTTTCAGCAACCAGCAGAAAAAAAACTTCCACTAACTGAAAGTAAAACTAAAAGCCTTCCTGGGCCTGAGAGCCCTGACCCTGCCCACTCATAGAAACCTAAAACATAGAAGATAGCAGCAGGAGGAGTCCGTTCGGCCCTTTGAGCCTGCTCCACCATTCTTCGCAATCATGGCTGATCGTCCAACTCAGTAGCCTAATCCTGCTTTCTCCCCGTAACCTTTTTTTTCTTTATTCATTCACAGGATGAGGGCATCACTGACCAGGTAGCATTTATTGCCCATCCCTAATTGCCCATAGAGCAGTCTTCAGAGTCAAGCACATTGCTGTGGGTCTGGAGTCACAAGTAGGCCAGACCAGGTAAGGATGTCCCTAAAGGAACCAGATGGGTTTTTGCAACAATCAGCAGTGGGTTCATGGTCATTATTAGATTATTAATTCCAGATTTTTTTTTTGAATTCAGATTCAACCGTCTGCCATGGCGGGATTCGAACCTGGGTCCCCAGAAGTTTATCTGAGTCTGTGGATTAACAGTCCAGCAATAAATACCACTAGACTATTGCCTCCCCCTGAACCTTTGATCCCCTCCACCTTTGATCGCATTTGCCCCAAGTGCTATATCTAGTCACTTGTTGAATACATTCAATGTTTTGGCATCAACTACTTCCTGTGGTAATTAATTCCACAGGCTCACCACTCTTTGGGTGAAGAAATGTTTCCTCATCTCCATCTTAAATCGTCTATCCCGAATCCTCCTACCGTGACCCTTGGTTGTGGACACACCCACCATTGGGAATATCCTCCTTGCACCTACCCTGTCCAGTCCTGTTAGAATTTCATGATTCCTTTGTCTCGTTTTTTTTTTTTAAAAAAGAAAACGCCCAGGGAGAACTCAAAAGCTGTTTACCAACTGCCTGTCTGAGGGGGATATTGTGACACTAAGAGAAACAGGACAGAACGCATCACTGTTAAAGGCACAGTACTGTCACACCACCTACCTGATGTGGTTGTGAAGTGGCATCTGGTCCAGCATCTGGCCTGTGAGCTATTTTGATCCAATTTCTGTAGGTTCCTTTCTATGTAGTGTTTATATAAAGAACCAACTTCAGCTCCACAAAGCTCCTGAATCAGGGTACTCCCTGATAGAAAAGTGCTTCTCAATTGACTTGTAGACTAATTTCTCAAAATTCAGCAAATTTAGGGGTCTGGAGCTTCACCATTTTCTGGCCTGTTTCAAGTTTGCAATGAATGGTCTGAATCTATGACCTCATTCAAGTGGGAAAGAAACCTGTTATTGGTAATGGTAAACACAGAAGTATCAGACTGTCATTAAAAATAATTCTGCCTCACTAATG